GGAGGCATGGGCTTCGGAAACATCAACAGCATGTTTGAAGAAAGGCCAGAAGTAAGAGGTCGCTGACAACACCATAGCATCGATCTTTTTAGATATGTGATGTTAATTTGATGTGTTTAGTTAAGATTCAGTTTAACATACAGATGTGAGAATTGAACACTGGTTTTTAAATGTTCCCGTCTTTTCCTAGTTTGTGATGGAGCTTACGTTTTCGGAGGCGGCAAAGGGCGTGAATAAGGAGCTGAGTGTGAACATTGACGACACGTGCCAGAGGTGTGACGGGAGGGGCAACGAGCCGGGGACTAAGGTGTCTCACTGTCACTACTGCAATGGCACAGGGATGGTGAGTTTCCGACCGACGCTCGGCAGCAGGCTCCTCTCAGCACCTGGCTGCACTCGTCAGCTTGTCTGTGTCGCCCCTTGCAGGAGTCGATCAGCACAGGACCCTTCATGATGCGCTCAACGTGCCGGCGCTGTGGTGGGAAAGGATCCATCATAAACACGCCCTGCGCCCTGTGCAGAGGTTCAGGCCAGACTAAGAAGAGGCAGACGGTCACTGTGCCCGTACCTGCCGGTAGGTTTTCATCCTGGGTTCTCAAATCCATCAATGTTTGTAATGTGAGAGTTTACCTCTAGTGTTTGTAGCTACTGCTGCTTAAAACGAATAACCTCTGAAGATTGCGTTTAATAATCGGTTTTAAAATAGACAACTGCATATATTCCAGGAGTGGACAATGGTCAGACGGTGCGAATGTCAGTAGGAACTAAAGAAATCCTCATTACATTCAGAGTAAGTTTTGGTCTCTCAAATTCACATTCTCCTTATTTTACTTGTGAGAGAGCAGTGCAGAGGTGTGATGCGTCGTGTTTGATCTGTGCAGGTTCAGAGGAGCCCGGTGTTCAGACGTAGTGGAGTAGACATCCACTCTGATGCCTTCATCTCAATAGCGCAAGCCGTTCTGGGAGGCACAGCCACCACACAGGGCCTCTATGAAACCATCAGTATTGTGGTGAGTGTGTGTCGACAGTAATATTCAGAAGGCCAGTCATTTTCAATTATCCTAGTGGGTCACAATGATACTGCAGTTGGGCCACAGGAATAACAGAAATTCAGTTTGAAATTCTTTACACATGTACGGTTACATATGTGTAGAATTTTACTTGTTTGTAAAATGTCTGTGAAGGTTCTCAGTCATCCAGGTCATTGTAGTCTAAGGAGCTTGCAAAGAAAAGCGTCTGGACTTCTTTAAGTTACTTGAAGACGTTTCACCTCTCATCCGAGA